GCAAAAAATTTTGCCAATGGCCCTTGTACATAATTAAAATTAGCTAATTAGGTTTAACAAATTCTGGTACAAATTTCAATTTTGGCGGTTATAGTATTGTGAAAATACCTTTAATTGCATTTATAACTTGGTCATAGTATTTATTTATCATACTATGAATAACACTAATTACTATTGTATTGCAATTATTGTAAATTTATCAATGAAAAATAAATTATCATTGAGTGATGACTGCTCAGTACAATATAGCTGCCATGAATAATAAACTATGACCAAGTTATAAATGCAATTAAAGGTATATTTACAATACTATAACCGCTAAAATTGAAATTTGTACCAGAATTTGTTAAACTTAATTAGCTAATTTTAATTATGTACAAGGGCCATTGGCAAAATTTTTTGCAATTTATTTTATTATTGTATCATGCTGAACGTAATGGTATAGTTTAAATCACTTAAATCGAATTTCTACAAAAAAGGGACCCAACTAAATATATTCACAAATTTCATTAACGCTTTAATTGACGACTCATTTCTCGTATGAATATATCATTTCAATGATTAGATAAACGCATAAATGAGTCAAACATTGCGTCAAATATCACAGATATTTTGCAACAAATCTTTTGTTTGTCATTCAATTCAACAGTAAATCAATAAAAAAAATAACATTTTGTTAAAACATTAATTTCTATACAAAAAACCTAAACATTTCACTCTAATATGGATTCATTGGGAAAACAAATGACAATTAAAAATAAATAATTTAAACATTTAAAGCGTTCATTGCATTGAAATTAATGAGTAATTCATATGAAAATCAATACAAACTAAATGTAAATCAAAATAAAAAGTGATTTTAAAAATCTTGAATTGAAAAACGAGTGAAACGTATTGAACGTCAAAACGAGTGTTACATTCAAAGAGAGTAATCACAAAATTGTCACCAAAAGAGTGGATCCAATCATAATTACAAGACATTACATACCATTTGAGTGTTTCAATGGACGCGAAGAGACGATTGTTTTGATTAAATGGTCAATCAATGAGTGATTGAGTCCTGTATTAGACGTCAAATGCAAACAACAATAATATTGTAATCAATGAGTGGTTTAGTCGACAAATGTCTGAATTGTTTGCGTGTTTTGTATTGAGTGTTGCATTGAATAACATTGAACGCAATGCATAACCGATTCCCACCTCAACCTAAGCACAACACTCTCAACACTATATATTGTTAGGTTATCTTTCGCTTGAATTGAGGCGCAAATCACGTGACGAAAACAAGGGTAAGACTGCTAACAAATAGTGTTGTTAGCTATATAGCTAAGAAATCGTGTTCATTACTGTGGTGACAAACGGTTTACTTTCATAAGTAATAATTACGTATTCGGATACCTCAGTACAGTACACTACACTATACCCCTATATTTATCCAATTCTCTCTCTCCCTATTATTAAATGAATTAATTAATTAAATTATAATTTATAAAATTGTAATTATTCGTAACATGGAGTCAATTGAATTAAATAAATGCAATTTATAGTAAATAGCGATATAATAATAAATAAGATATAGTATTCTGTAGTACTTTAGGTTTGAAATCAAATATTCTTACAGTTATACTAAATAATTAAGGAATTTATTTCATTTATGCTTTTATGTAACCTTTAACATTATGATCATATTAGCTATGGTTATTTTAATAATACTATATGTGTCCCTATTATTTATTTTACTGTAGTTAATTACATTTTTTAAACGCCCATATTTATAATTTTATATACTTTATACATATTATAAATCTTATCAAGGCCCATATTATTTATATACTTTACAGTTTAGCCCACAATTAAGCGCACCTTTTATAAGCACACATAACAATAAACCATACTGTATAGTATTATTTTATTTAATTTGTTAATTTATAAATAAAACAAATAAATGTGAACCAATTTTTTACACAAACAGTATAGTCGTCTAAGAGATACAAATGTACAAGATTTTATATATTAGAATCTAACAGTTAGATAATTGTATTTATTTTGTATAACGTTATAAGGATTGGATTATAGATGCAATTTTAACTATATTTTAATTAAATACATCTTAATAACTCAAGTAACTTGTACTTAAAATTTGTAATTGTGTTATTTTATAATCAATTAATTTTAGTACAATTGCATAAACTAATGTAATATAGTTTAATAATAATTGTTGTTTAATGATTTTTGTTGGGTTGACAACTATTAAATATGATCTTTTATTACACAAATAACACATTTATTAAAGTTATATTCTGTGCACCAAATGTCTAAATGTCTAAAAGATATTTCTCTTATAACGTTACCAATTTATAAGAAAAACTATATTTTATTGTTATTATTAAAATTTGTTGAAAATTTAGTCGTTTGTATCGAAATAGGAATAATAGACGGGATTTTAGTTTTAGTGGTCACTCTATTCACTTCCAAAGACACTTCTGCATCAATCACTTCAGTGGACACAGTATTAGACTTTTGACAGACATCTCGTACTTCTGTTATTTGCCAGTTATTTATAAACACTGGAACTTCTCGTATCTAATAATACAAACGAAATAAATAAAAGTATTTTCAATTTCAATACAAATATCATATTTAGACCTTAAGAAGACAGCCAAGTGTTGGTATTTCTGTGATATCTATAGTGTTGACCAAACTCTACACAATAAAAGTTAGAAAAAGTCATAATTGTGTGAGAATTTATGATTAAGTAATAAAAATAGATTAGATTTTTGTTTATTAAATAAAACCTTTGTTTCACTAAATTCTATTAATCTATATTCTCATAGACTTCACTCAACACCAAATGACAGCCGGCATTTTCAACTGTTCTCAAACCAGAGGCTGCGCTGGCTATCTCGGCCACGACTACAGACTCGCTTCCTAACGTGTAGGTTAACATTCTTCACTTTGTTCTTTGCCTTCACATCAATCACTGGTTCCGTACTTTGCATTCTTATGATTTGATTTCTTTCAATTTTAATCGGAATTTTAGTGGTTATCACTTTGGATGTCGTCAAACCACTCTCTATCGGTTCAATCAATTCAATTGGTTTAACGCTTTCTATTGTTTTCAGTTTATTAATTAGTTTTCCGTTTGCATCAAATTCTAAACGTTTGGTCACTTTTTCCAGACTCTCTCTTATATATAGACCACTGGATTGATGGGAATCCGATGTCTTCTCTGTATTTTGATTATCAGAATATTGTTTTGTGTCATTAATTTCAACGATTGTCTCCACAAATAGATTGTGTTTTGTATCCCTTCTGTCGATTTCTTTGTACGAGTGATGAATTTCTTGGTGTCCTTTATTTGCTTTATTTATGATCACTCTTTCATTCTTCTCATATATCCGTTTGTCATTTTCGTAACTCATTCTTATGTCAACATGTCTTTGAATCTCTTGGATATCATATTTAGATGCAATCATTGCTATCAATACAATCATTATCTGAAAAATGAAATTAATTTATAAAAGTCCATGTTTTCGTTTTGTAGGAATAGTCTCACAAATATGTATATCAATCCTATTATGCAGAGGAAGAACAGACTATAAAACACATAAACAAAATTATTTTCTGACATTTTTATCAATCACTTTAAATTGTAAACGAAATTTAAATTGGTTTAGTTATAAATGCAATTAAAGGTATTTTCACAATACTATAACCGCTAAAATTGAAATTTGTACCAGAATTTGTTAAACCTAATTAGCTAATTTTAATTATGTACAAGGGCCATTGGCAAAATTTTTTGCAATTTATTTTATTATTGTATCATGCTGAATGTAATGGTATAGTTTAAATCAATTAAATCGAATTTCTACAAAAAACGGACCCAACTTAGTTTTATTAATACATGAATTGTGATTGAATTTACAGAATATACTCCTAATATGTTATGAATACGAGTGTATTAATCAATAAGACGTCGGAAAGTATAGTGAATTTGACGACACAGTCGTCGGTGTCGTCGACCGCCAGGTCTTCGGTGGTCGAGACAATGGCCGCCAATTTGCCCAAATTGGCCGATAATATCACAGCCCTTGTGGAACATCCGGGAATATTTCTTCAGTCCACGTCCGCTAAAGTCATTTCCGGCGCTTTCGTATGGATCGCACTCATCATCACTTGTCATCAGGTATTGTCATTATTGACGTTTGCATTCACTTTAACCCATCATTTATACCATTAAACATATCCAATGTCCAGATCTACCAACACTTGCGCTTCTACTCCATGCCATCGGAGCAGAGATGGATTGTTAGGATTCTGTTTATTGTCCCGATCTATGCGCTCGACTCATGGCTTAGTCTTATGTTCTTTAGAGATAATTATTATGTCTATTTTGAAAGCGTTAAGGATTGGTATGAAGGTATGTGTCCACTCAACTCACTTCACTCACAACAACATCTCTAACGTATCTGTATTTGTATTGAATAGCGTTTGTTATCTACAACTTCTTGAGTTTATGTTATGAGTATTTGGGAGGAGAAGGGAATATAATGACCGAAATCCGCGGTAAGCCGATCCGCTCGAGCTGGTGGTACGGCACCTGTTGTCTGTCCGGTCGCACGTATTCCATCGGTTTCCTCCGCTTCTGCAAACAGGCGACACTTCAGTTCTGTGCCGTCAAACCCATGATGTCTATCATTACGCTTGTATTGCAAGCGTTTGGAAAGTATAAGGACGGCGACTGGAGCGCCGATTCTGGCTATCTTTACATCACAATGATATACAACATCAGCGTTTCTCTGGCTCTCTATGGTATGGTCCTCTTCTATCACGCGACCAAAGACCTGCTCTCGCCGTACGATCCCGTCTGGAAGTTCTTCACTGTTAAATCTGTTATCTTCTTGTCCTTCTGGCAGGGTTTGTATGACCAACACATCCCTCCATTCAATCCCATTAATCATTAATTGTTTCGCAAAACAGGTGTTATTCTGGCGGTTATGGAAAAGGCGGACTTGATTTCTCCCGGTATTTATATGAATACTTTTTGTATTGTAATATATGCTAACACTTGTGTGCATTGCGTTAACAGTGTTCACATACGGTGGTGAGAAGGCGAGTGCGGGTACTGTTTCGGCCGGTTATCAGAATTTCTTAATAAGTGTGGAAATGTTTTTCGCTGCGTTGGCTCTGAGATATGCGTTCCCCTATCAGGTATGATATGATTCTCTATTGAGTGTCAATGTGTTTGTTATTAATATGTTTGTTGTGCTGAACAGATCTACTCGAACGGGTGTCCGACTGACGGAAACGGCCGATCGGTGACAATGCAGAGCATATCAAGCAGTCTGAAGGAGACGATGAATCCGCGGGACATAATGAATGACGCCATACATAACTTTCACCCCAATTACCAACAATACACACAATACCAGTCGTCCAACAAATCGACGAGCGGTACGAATAAACCTGTGGGCGAAACGGGAGCACTGAATAAGTCGCAGCCCGTGAATGAGCCTCAGAGCGGCTACAATAGTGTGGCGATTGATGTGAACGCCATGAATGGTGTGGTGAATATGGCGTCCACTATAGAAGCGGAAGACGCGGCCAAAAGTGGCAAAAAGTCGACTCAACAACAGGGAAGACAAATCCAAACGATTAGTCAGAATTATAGCGAAAAAACTACATTATTGTCGTCTGACGACGAATTCCAATGAATTATTACATTTACAAACCGTTTGACGACTTTCTTCTGTCTTTTCAGCATTTTATGAGATATTTATTTGAAACCCATTTGTGAGAAGTCATGAAAGTTGTGGAGAAATTTACGAATAATTATTACAATTTATTTATTGATTACAAAACTGTTTACTTCTACAACACAAAGAGAAGCTGAGCTAACATTTGAAGTAAATTTTCATTTGAGATCTGTTTTATTGTTTCAAAGTTGAGCTGAAATTTGATTTAATAGACAGTTATTATTATATTAATTGTAAATTACTTTGAATTTTTAAATGTAGTTTTTGTGCAATTTGTGAATATATTTAAAAAGGATTAAATGAATTAATGGCTGAAATTCAAAGTTTGTGCCCAACAGTGTTGTGGCAAAGAGTTGTCAAATAAATTAACGAATAAATCACTTATAGAATAACAAAATGACAATTTTATTTAAAGCTAGAAAATGGTCACAATTTGACAACTCTTTGCTACAATAATTACATCATTCAAACTATTGTCAAATACCAAAGACTTATAAATACATAACAGTAAATGTATATTTATTTAAAACCTATATTTAAAACCAGTGAATATATGTTGAATATATATAAAACATATAATTTATAAGACTTTTCTATTTTGAATATAAATATAGCTTTAGTTTTAATGTAAGACAATTGAACTCATTCTTTGGTAAATTGACAGAATTGGTCGCTAAGATAATAGGCATTTCAAATCAAACTACTTTCAGCAGCTATTAATGATTATAGAGTTATTGAGATTTCTGTTAAATATATATACAATTAAATTACTTTATATTTCTATCTCTACTCCAATTAATTTGAGATTTAAATGTATTATAAAATTGCTGTATCTTTTAGAGTGTTGTTTAAATTCAATCCAAAGCCATATTTCGTTAATAAATTTTATTCAAATTTCAAAATTGAGACTTTATTTGATTAAATGCTATTTTCGTTACCATATATTCTTACCATTTGGTGGTTAGAGTATTACTGAGTTAACAGACATTTGCTCTACAGATGACAATATTATTATCAAAATTGTCAGTAATTTTTATGTCATTAATTCTATCGTGTAATGTGTAACGTAAGTAGTAGTGTATGCGTAAATTACATTGATTAATTTGTACCAAATATAATTATAAATGTCTTATCATCTCAATTGACATTTCAGGTAAAGAATATTCTGTGAGTATCGACAATAATTTCCATGTATTTTTAGTACTAATTAGTATTAATGCTTATATGGATTAAATAATATATCAAATTAATATTACCGTTAATTCAACCAAAACTCAAACTATACAGCACTAAATATAGGATAAATTCTGTAGAATTGTCAGAATATACTATTATAATTAAATAAACAGCAATAGAAATAAATTAATCATGGACAATTTGTATAATATGAATATTAATATGTTTATAATAATTTTAATTTGTCACAACTTATTATTTGAAGAATTGCCAGAATATACTATTATAATTAAATAAACAGCAATAGAAATAAATTAATCATGGACAATTTGTATAATATGAATATTAATATGTTTATAATAATTTTAATTTGTCACAACTTATTATTTGTTAAAATAATTATTTATCGATTAGTTATAACTAGCAGTGAATTGACGACAAATTGATGTGTAATGGAAATACACTTATTTATTGTTTAATAAAACTTTTCGTACAAATTCTTATTTATTGTAATTGTCGTATATTTACATGTGAGAGCATTACAGGAATCATATCTAATAAATGATAGATGAATGTGTAAAACATAGAGGAATTGCTACACATACTGAATATCTATCATATGAAACATCTCTGGGATGCGGACATCAATTGTGAGGCAAACATAAGCCCAAAACCAAACCAACAAAATATGTGTTGACAGAGAAAGCAAAGGCAAACACAACCATAACCTCACTCTCAATGACAAACACAGCATTCATTGCACACTATATTCAACACTAATTGAACACAATTTAACATTTCATTTGTCTTCAAATGATGTCATTTTGTAATTGGTTTTAAATATTATGTATTTATTAGTGTTTTAATGATTCATATCTAATAGAAATCAAGAATTAGTTATAAATATAGTTATAATAGTTATAATAATTGTCGTATTCATTGAAATTTGAAAAATTCATTGAATTTTTAAAAATACGAAATTAATTGAAAGGATGTGTGAAATGAGATCACAATTGTTTGCATCGGTTCTGTTGGCCATAATATGTGTCATGTCTTGCAATCCTCACAAACAGAGCAAAGAGAGACTCGAAGACGCTTTTGGACAACACCTGAAGGCAGACACAGACGGAAGCGATGGACAACATAAGTGGCACTTCGATCACGAGGCAGTCCTCGGCAGCAAGTCTTCGGCCAAAGAGTTCGATACCATGAGTCCGACCGAATCCAAACGAAGACTCAGAATACTGGTCAACACCGGAATGGATGCCAATAGAGACCAATTTGTCGATAAACAAGAACTCATTGATTGGATTCTTAAGTCATTCAAAACGCTGGCCATCGAAGACGGAAACGAGAGGTTGAAAGAGGAGGACTCGAACGGTGATGGAGTGGTCTCGTGGGAGGAACACCTGAAAGACTCGTTTGATATCGAAGATGGCGTCGACGAGGAACAGATGCTGAAGGATGAGGTGATGGCCGAAGACAAGGCCTTATGGGAAGCGGCCGACGCTAACAGAGACGGTGTACTCGATTCGCTTGAGTTCTGTGCGTTCAATAGTCCCGAAGAGTTTGAATCAATGCATCCAACGATTTACGAACAAATGATGAACAAAAGGGACCAAAACAAGAATGGGTTCTTAGAGTTCAATGAGTTTGCGAGTGACGTGAATGGAAACCTTATGGACACTAAATCTGAACAGTATTTGATAGAAAAGGATCGCTTCCACAACGAGTATGACTTAAACGGTGACCAAAAACTAGACCAAAAAGAGAGCTATCTTTGGCTCATTCCCGACAACAACGAAATGGCAGAAACAGAAGCCAATCATTTGATTACGTCTTCCGATGATAACGGAGACGGAAGACTGTCTGTCGATGAGATCGTTGAACACCACGAGGTGTTCGTCGGCAGTGAAGCCACAGATTTTGGACAAAATCTCGAAGATATGAGATTCACCGATGAATTGTGAAAAGTTTTGTGCATTACTTTTGTTACACTCATTATTATTATTTAGTAATTATTTTATTTATTGATTGACTCGATATTTATGACAATTAAAACAATTTTATTTATCATTAATTATTTTTAATTTACCCTCATTTAGATCTCACTAACCATTGACTTTCTTTACATTATTTTTTGTGCCAAAAATCAAAGTTATTTATTATTTCATAAGTTATTGCAAATTATAAATTTACATTTCATTACAAATTATATGTAATTATTTTAAGCAATATTATAACTTTTCAGTGTTTGTGATTCTAATCAAAATTTTCAAAAGTCTTAAATGTATTATTAGTCAAAATTTATCTAATCTTTTAAACTTTGTATATAAAATATTGTAAATAACTTTTTGTCAAAATTAAATTTATCAGAGAAACGAGTTTAGCAGTGAAAATGTCTGCATATTTAACACCATTTTATAAATCCTATAATGGATTTAAATATCCGATCGCCTATACGTCCGAAAACATAGAGTTTGCTCTCAATTACAAGCCATTGAATTCGGATCTAATATTAGTTACATATCCGAAATGTGGCACAACTTGGACTCAATATATTATTTATCTGATTCTCAATAAAGGAAAATCAATTAATAACAAGAATTTTGTTAACAATACATGTCTGGAATATAAAGGAATTGAATGCCAGACAAATCCGATTATAAAAACTCATTTACCATTCAATCTGTTGCCCTATAATAAGTGCACAAAATATGTTATTGTAATGAGGAATCCAAAGGATACTTGTGTTTCGTATTATAATCACATGAAAATGCGGTTTAATTATGATTTCCATTACTTTTTCAAACATTTCATCGCCGGTGACATACCTTACGGACATTATTTTGAGCACATAATGTCCTTTTGGTCGCATAGAAATGAACACAACTTTTGTTTCTTATTCTACGAACAAATGAAAATCAATACAAGAGATACCATCGAAACGATCGCACAATTTCTGGGACAACAATATATAGACTCTTTGAGAGCAGATAATGAACTGATTCTCAATGAAGTTCTCAAATGTTCAACACTTGATTACATGCGAAATGATTTGATTTCAAACCAATTCATTGTTCGCAAAGGAGTTGTCGGCGATTGGAAACACTATTTCAATGAAATGGAAAGCGATTTAATTGATAAGAAATCGGAGCACTATTTCCGTGGCACTGATTTACTAGACATTTGGTCCCAACACATGAAATGGTAACAACGATTGACACGAATAATTCATTCGCAAATAATTTATTTTAAATTTTTTAAGTATAAAAATGGTTCAATGTTTGAATGAAATACTAAATTTCAAATAAAGTAAAAAATAAAAATACATAATTTTAAGCGACCACTCATTTGAATGGTTTAACAATCATTTGCCAATACTTTCGATGGAACCGTTGCATTGAATGCCGTCGAATAGGAAAAAGTTTCTGATGGGACTGTCTTTGGCAGAAACGGCTCGTATCACGTCCTGACCCAACACTCCGCCGACGATAGAGCTAATGGGACTCAACTCTCCGAACACCTCTTTGTGCCAATCCGTGTGTTTAATGATCCTTTCGTCGACTCCGAGTCTAGCGATCACTTCTTTCTGCAATCCTTTCAATTCTTCAATGTCTTCGTCGCGCGAATCGGCCGATGGATAGCGAGAGTGTTTCTCACAGAACTCGAGCAATATATGAGTGATAATAAATGTACTGCTGGTCCGTCTGGTCAGCCCATAGCCAGCCTTTCCTGCCTTTACGTCCAGCGCTCTCTCCAACGAAACGAAACTTATTTTCTATCATTAAAGTTAAAACACTTTAATAAACACACTATAGTTAACACACTATTGGGTTAATACCTTTTCGACGATCTGTTTGGATGTAATCGGTTGTGGTGTTGGCTGTTGTTGTTGTTGGGGAGCCTCGAGTCTAGCCTTCTTCCGGGTCGGCTCGCAATCCGTCTGAATAGTGATGTCTTCTATTTTCACGTCTTCTCTATTGGTTTCACACGAAGAGTAAAAATCAGTTCAAAATTCAAAACATGAGATCAAATGATGTGTTACTCTGAAAAGTAATAGTGTTGTGAACCCAAGTCTGTGAACGTAAAGCCAAACGAACCCCAAATAGCGGTCGCGAAGAACTTGATGTTCAGCTCATTGCAGATTCGGTTCACTTTAATCATAGTTTGTTTGTCATAATTGGACAAAATTACCACTTCGTAAGCCCTGAAGAAGTCTTTGTCTTTATCTCTAAGCGACGTATTGTCGTCATTGACCGCGACGTTTGGATTCAGCGATTGGACCAACTCTTTGGACACTTTGGCCCGATTTTGGCCGATCTCTCGTTTGGTGAACAGATTGGAGAGAGTGTCCGCTTCGGTGACCATCTGGTGGTCGAGTAAAGTCATGGACTTCACGCCTGAGAGCACTATATTCTTGACCACTTCAGAGCCGACTCCGTTAATGCCGGCCATCAGGACATTAGCGGTCCTCAACTTCTTCTG